CGGCCCCGGGGCTCTCCTGGGCCTCGCTTCCCCTTTTTGGCTCTTTCCGCGGCAGCGCTGCAGCGAGCGCTGCTGTTTCGCGCCCGGAGGGCTGCATCCCTCGGTGGGTTTGAAGGGCTCCCTGCGGTTGGAGCCGCGTAACGAAATCCGCGGGGTGGGGTGTGAAGCTCGCCGTGGGGTTGGGTAGTCTGTCGTGCCTCGGTGGTGTGAGGGTTTGGGGTATAAAGTAAAGACAATGGGGGGGGGAAAAAGTGTTTCTTGTCAACTTAAATATTTCTCATCGGCGTTCAATACTCTACTTGGACAATTTAAAAAAAATCTGAAGTGATTTATTATTTGGCATGTTCATTCCCCCAAATGAGGGGTTGCTTTATCTGGAGAAGGCTTGCGTGATGCTATTTTGAGTGTTGGAAAATCCTCTTCTGAGCCTGTGCTGATAGTGTTTCTTACTTTTTATTTTTATTTTTTTAAACAGCAGAACAATGCCTTTTTTTTTTTCTTTTTCCTAAACACGAGCACTTGTTAGATAGTTCCTTCTGCTTGTTCTAGCTGATTTAAGTAAGGAGAGCTTGAACTTTTTAACTTTCAGATCTGGTGTCTTCCTTAGTTTCTGTGGAAGTTTTAAAGGGCCTACCTTAAATTCTTTCTAGATATGCATGATTCAAATCTCATACTGTGACAGCAACCCTTCCTGTCTTTTTTTTTTGTCTTTTCATCTTTTTAGCAAGATATATATTGAGCTGTTTAAATTTTTCACTTGAAAGCTGTACATGAATTATGCTTAAAAGACACAGTCTGAAAGCATTACTTATCCCCCTTCACCAGTTACTTAGCCCCACGCACTGGCGTAGCGATAACTGTAAGTGAACAGAATCAAGAACCTGGATTGCAACCAATGATTTATTTTATTTTTTTAGAGAGAGAGGAAAAAAAAGGGGGGGGAGGGGGTTAGCTTTAATCCAGTTCCCTGATCCTGTCCTCTGTAGCCATGCAAGTGCTTCTGTCTTGAGAGAAGGCATGTGGGAGAGCAGCAGATGATCCACTGGTGGTGGTGTTGAAGGAGAGAAAGGCAGCACGAGCGCCCCTTTGGTGACAGCATGGAGTGATCCCGGCTGTGTAACAGTGCAGCGTAAGGTGAAGTTCGAAAGGTAACAGCCAGGTTTGGACAAAGCTGTATAGCTTTAAAACAATGTTTCTATCTTCTGTTCTAGTGAAGGTCAAAGGCCTGATGGTCCTTGTGGTCTTCTGCTTTCAAGATCCCCCAGAGCCACTTCCAGCAGAAGACCGCATGTGTCAGTTTGCTCTTCTACTGCTGTCCCAAACAACCTCCAGCGCTACTTTGGTTCTCAAGATTTTTTTGTAGCTGGGCTTCACTTGAGAAAATTAGTTGTGTTTTGTGCTTTACTGAGTCCAGCTGCTGACGCCTTATTTGAGGCTGATGCGCCTGTCGTCTTTTCCTTGTTTCTCCCCAACTGCCCTAGGACTGCATCTGCCTCCCCCTGGCTCTTGTTGTTTGCACCTCTGCGTTTGGCAGTGTTGTGTCCGAGACCGATTCAGTAGTCTGAATCTGTGTGGCTCTGGGTTGAGCCAACCTGGCGTCTTGGCAGTGTGCTTGCTGGGCAGTGCAGACGTGTCCAGACTAACGTTACATGAGCCCAGCAGGGTCTGTTAGTCCCACCTTTACCTTCCTAGTAAAGGGTGCCTCTGCAGCTGGGAGCCACTCCTTTTAAGCATATACACAAAAGGGGTAAAGTTGAAGTCACTGAGTAAGTATGGTGTCTGAATTTCTTTACTGCTGTTGTAATTATGGATTCTCCATCTCAGTGTCGTTCAAGTGGATCACTTTTTCTCTGTTAATATCCTTCTCCTAGCCTCTTTAAGGTAGCAGTTTTATTATTTCCTTAGGATGTTATGAAGCCTCCTTGTTGAATGTATTTGCCATTACTAAGATATAACTTCCTAGTAATAACTGGTCTAGAAACTGGAAGCTGAGATGAGAAACCTGCTAGTGAGGTATGAGGGAAAGAAGGGAGGTAACTGGCATTTGTTCTTTCATGCATAAACTGAGTTTCTGCCATAAGGAAGGAACGTCTATCGAATGTGTTCCCAGAACAAAAGGACTAACACAAATCAGTGGTGGAGACTTGCTCTTCTCGGGCAATCTATTCCAATAGTTTGCTGTTATAACCATTGAAAATGCTTCTCCTAATTTTTAATCTAAGTTTCTTTGCTATAATTTAAACATTTAAGCATTTTAATATGCATCTTATGTACCTTAAGGACAGTTTATTATGCCCTTCTCTTTGGCATTTTCTGTGCTTAACAAATCTAGTTCCTTCAGTCTCCCTTCTTAAGTGATTTATTTCTTTATTTACTTTAACATCTGGGCTATTCTTGTTCTTTTGGGGGATTTTTTCACTTGATCTGTAGTTTTCTTGGAGTGCTCACAACTGGACACAGTGATGCATCTGAATCCTTAGTACAGCAGGCAGAAGGAAACTGTTTCATATACCTTACATAAAATACCTGCAGTTTGTACATCTCAGTAGGATGAATGAGTCTTTAAATATTTGGTTTTTTATTTTTGCAGTGGTATGTGTCGACTTACGTTCAGCTTAAACCCCAGATTCTTTATCCCTTTACCATACAGCATATCTCTGTGCAGATGTGGTGTTTAGCGTTACCTTTCCGGTTGTGTTGCATAGGTGACTGTTCCTACCTATTTACTCTATCAAACTACGTATTATTTCAAATGATTTTTCCACTCACTTCAGATGACTTTGGATTCTGAGATCATCTGTCAAAGTGCTTGCAGTTCTCCCAGCTTTATACCCTTTGTAAAATAAAAATCTTCTCTCTTCTGATGGTTTCTCATGTGTCACTTGTGTTGTTGGGGTTATCTTCAAATATGTTACTGATGACTGTAAGAAATCTGAGAGCTGTAACTGAAGCAAAGCAAAATATGGTGTCGCCTGCCCTAAGTTCCTCACTAAATAACATTGTATTTTTCTTATTATCCAAGTTACGTTTAATAGTAGTGAAGAGTAATGAAATATTAGATTCCCGTGAATACGCTTGGTACCTATTTTCTCTCTGAGTGAAGTACCAAGAGATTGTTAGAAACCTGTACCCAGAGATAAACTGTTACTTCACTCAGAGAGAAAATAGGTACCAAGCGTATTCACGGGAATCTAATATTTGTCTAGCTTATGGATATGAATGTTGATTTGAGAGTGTCAAAAGCCCTACAAAACCTAAGCTATATTGGATCTGGTTGCTGTTTCCCTGCCTAGGTTGTTACTCCATCATTGGAGGAAATTGCATTGGTTTGATACTATCTGTTCTTTAACAAATCACATGTCGGCTGATACCTGCTTTGTTATCTGAAGTACATAGGAGATAGGTTGTTAGACTATTTATTCCAGTGTCTTCCCGGGGACTGGAGGTAACCCTGACTGAATCATGATTCCCTGGGTATTTGTTTTCTTGCTCTTTAGAGGCAGGTGCTTTTGCCCTTCTTCAGGCTTCTGCAACCTGGTGTAAAGAGCAGAGACGGTCATTGACAACTAACTGCCTTTGACGGTTTTCGGAGGGTAAATATTGTTATATCTAGCAGATTTTAAAATGTTTAGGTAGGCTTTTAATCCAGCAACACCTGAATATAGTCCATGGGTGAAGCTTGACAGGTTGTCTGAAGAACCATATTGCCTTTGTCATGCTTTGTGTTTGAAGTTTGATAAAAAGGCATGGGAAATTTTGAGCCTTGACTTTGGTCTGTTGGCTCGGGAGGTTTGGAACAGTTGCCTCAATGTATTTCCCAGATCTAGCTTGTGTTCTTACTCCTTTCATTGTGATATGACGTATATTAGCCAGTTAATCTTTTTTTTTTTTTTTTTTTTTAAACCCAAAGTGTGAAGCAGAAAGCACCCTGAGTGCCTTGGCATGATCTGCTAGGGATTTTCCCGCCCGTTGAGTAGTGGGATAACACGCTCCTCCTTTAACTGCTCTTCCTTTCACTCCATGCATACTGAAGAAGTATGTTCATGTTACCTTCTGTGTTGCCTGCTAGTAGTTTCTTTCTTAGCGCATTGAGCTTTCCCATTTTGTTAAATATTTGTGCTGTTCACTCTTAAGTAACCTTCAGTAATTTGATTTAAAAACGTATAAAAGATGAAAGTACACATTTTTTTTTCCCTGCATCATTAAAGAGCTTATACTTAGCTGAGGTGATTTGTCAGTAAACCTCAAGTTTTTCTTTTAGGTTTCAGATAGCTTATGGTTTTACTGTGAGTTCATTATCTTTATTTTGTGGCTCTCAGTTTTGCTCTTCCAAAGAATTGAGTGTGTTGACTTTTTATGTGCTTGCTCAGCCAAGTTGCTTCCACTTTCACGTTGTTAAGCGATTCCTCCCTTTAGGTTAAAATAAAACTAGAAGAGCTGTCCTTTACTGTTGAATTTCTTCTTTCCACCTCCTGTGTAAACAAAGCTAATCTCAAAACATTTGAGAACTCCTTGGGCATTCTGTGTCCTGTTTGTTTCTTCTTTTTCAACAGATGCCTTCAGTGAAGGTCTCCAGTTGCTATGAAATCCCATGCTTTGGAGATTTTGCTGTTCCTTCTTTTCGCCTCCCCTACTTTGTTAATTTAAATCTCTCTAATCTGGCGTGCTGGAGTAGATCCTACATGACATGGTACCTGTGTTGGCCTCCGGTCTCTCTTTTACTGTGACCTGGATCCTTCTAACAAGCTTGATGATTCATTCTGGATCTTACGGCCAATATATACTGATAATGTTTCTTCCCTTTTGTCCTTTGGATATCTTCTTGTATCAATATGTTTGCCCCTGAGCGAGAACATCTCCTAATGGCTCAGACTGGATGCCGCGTGTTTGCTATGCGAGGAGTAGCCGTGCTCAGTTCCCCTGGGGCCAGTGGGGCTCTGTGGAATGTGGTCGTGTCCATTGGCAGCAGAGCTGGGGCTGGTGCGCTGATAAGTGCAGCAGTGCTGCTTGGAGATAAGGGATAGGCAGATGAGTGCAAGTGGATGAAATTAGATGTTGGAGTCTCTACTGAAAAGGTCCTTCAAGTTGGGCTTCCATTGCAATTTATTTCAATGGAATTGTGCCAAATCTTCCAATTATGGGAACGTTTTTTTGAGAGTTTTATTCTGTAGTATTTTGTTTTCTTTAGCTATTGCTGCTTGACCAGTATTGCCAAAAGTGTAACACCATGTGTTTTTGGCATTAGAGTAATGTTAAATAAGCCTTTTCCACTATAAATCTTCCTTGTCGTTGGGAGGGAGGATGATAAATTAGCAGTTAAAAGTTGTTCTAGGATGGGACTTAGTATGGAAATGCTCAGTTCAAGAATAATGAATGTCTTTTAAAGTTTATTTTCTTAAATGTAGTAGAGGTTCACAGCGTTAAATAGTTGGCTTTAAGATGCTTTTTGCAGGGGAAAGTGCATCTAATTATGGAGCAATGCTTGATTAAAGTTCTGCAACACATTAGTTTCTCTAAGGTGTACCAATGGCTTTGCCTTCTTTTAGAAGTTTAGTCTCAAGAATTGTGTTAAAAGGCCTTTGTGCATGCATGAGAATTTTTCATTATTCAGATGATTCCAAACGTCTTTTCTGAGCGTACACATGCTGGCTGCATGCTTGCCAATGGTGTTGTAATCCACCTGGCTTCGAGACCGTGAATTATCTTTTACTCTGCCTGCTTGGCTTTCATTGCCTGTGTTGAGTTTTAGGAGGCAGGCTAAGCATATCCCACTGATTTACTTGCATAAAGAGGAAAGGAAATGCATCCACCGAAAAGTGCGTTAAAAGAATGTTAAGGTTGTTACTGCAAACAGGGCTGGGTAAAGAAATTTACTGTTGGCTGTAAAACTTGGACCATATGGTCTCCAGCAATCAGACACAAAAGTCTCGCGTAAAGTGGTAGTTAATTGGGGCTGCTGGTTCAGCTTCATAGTCCACTGCCTGCTACCATGTGGATAGCCCCCCCTTGATCTCCTGAGAGAAAAGGAGGAAAGCTGGTCTATAAAGCTCTGTCTTTGGAGTCAGTCCTGCTGCTCCAGCTACCTGTGGCCCGTCCTGACTCGTGGAGAGAGGGAACGTGGGTGTCTGCAGACCAACAGAAGCGAAGA